GAGTTTATTGTGCGTCCTCTGTATGTCAGCGAGATAAACTTGAATTTGATGGCTTATTTTCCACGAGGCAAACTGGCGTGGAAACTGAGACGCGGCTCGGCTTTCGTACACGATTCACACGTGAGAAACAACGACGGCTCTATGAGGCTTTTAACTGTGAGTAGTTTGACCGCGAGTAGCGGCTTTGTGAGCCGTGTCCTGGTGAACTTTTACTGATCTGACGTCCATAAACCAGAAAGTCCAGAGATTGTGACGTGTCTGCTGCGTCCCCTTGTTGTCCACGAGGTGTCCTTTGGCGTCACTGGTGCTGTGGATGTGAAATTATTTTCTTGGCAGTTAAGGGAGAAAATACTTCTAATCATTTTCATTAATACTGTTTACATTTCACAAAAAGAGTCATTTATGATGGTTCCCAACACCTGGGGGTTAGGGGTCATCGCCAGGGTCGGGTTATGGAAAGATGATGGTGTGGGTTAGTATGTGCCTATTAACAACAGTAACCTTGACGACATGGGAGGGACCCATCATGATGCCAAAGGACACCTTAATGCATAAATTAGCCACACCAGAGGTTTGACAGAGTCGGGCTGAGCGACTCCCCGGGGACGACAATAGGCTGGCATGTCCTTGCCTCGAGGTATGTGGAGTACACGGGCCCGTTACACAAAAATCAATCAAAAGATCTCAATAAAAGTCCTGCACGTGACTGTAAAGTACAAACTTTAGTTTCTCAGCAGTAGATATTCTGTGTTTGTCCAGAGTCGACACTAACTGTGGTTTTCTGCAGCAACAATAAAAAAACTGGAGGTCGTTTGGGAGGAGGATGATGAAGATGGAGCTAGTGAACGAGGGGGAAAGGAGACGGGCCCACAGGAGGTTTGTGGCGAGAGGACATGCAGGTGTTTGACCTGACAGAGTCAGAGGACAGGACGTGATGGAAACAGATGGTCTGTGATGTCCTCGCGGTTGTTCTGGGTCATCAGCGAGTCTAAAAGTTTGTGTCCTCATTTAACATTAAGCTGATGTTGGGATGCTGGGAGCTGATCTGACAGCCGGCTGCACTCGGTGCATGTGCACAGTATTTGAGTGGGCGGCTGAATTTTATGAATGCGCTCATGAATTTATGGATGTGCATCAGTGATTTGTGCAGCAGAAAAAAGTTTCAACACCACAAGTTCAGACGTGTGCGTGCATTCGCCCGGTCGCCATCACAAAACAGGACGTACGACGAGTGGAGAGAATAGTTTGAGCGAGGAGGTCTAGAAGACAGGAAACTCTTCTTCAGAGTCCTGATTTTACTCATCACATTCCTCTTTTTCACTTAACTGAATAATTTGCACCCACTAATTACTCAATTCATGCCATCAGATTAATAATTAGTCCCTTTGAATTACTGCTTTATACCCTCAAACATTTTAATTCATTCTCTAAAGCATTCGTTCATTCAGCGCTCTCATTATGGAGCCTTTGATGAGCGAATCAGATCTATGTGAATCTTCATGTTTGGCTGTGAAACACGTCTCTGTGGTATTTTTGCCGTTGTTTCATGAAGGTCTTTGTGTCCTCCGGAGGACAAAAGGCCGAGGACAGATGGAGCCATGTGAAAGGAAAAAATGGAGACAAAATCCTCAGAATAAATTAAACACTGACCACACAAACTGTTTGAAAACACAAATTTCTAAATTATAATGACTTATCCAAAGTGTTCCTCCAGACAGAACCTGGACTCCAGTGGATTTTTCAGTGTTTATTCCCACTATTGTTGTTTTTAAAGTATCCTAACAGGGAAAAGTGCAGAGGTACCACTTTGTATCAGCTCAG